CTTCATGACATAATCTTTAATTAAATATTAATTTTTAATTCCTAGAGACTCCAGAGGAATCCTGGAGAGTTGGCAACCCTACTTTGAGGGACACCTATGCCAAATCCAAATTACATTCATTCACAACTCAGCAAATGGCCATTGGCTCACTTGGCCAGGGAAGTCTGCCCGGGTCACTGTTTTAGAACTGTGTTTGTTTTCAGATGCTCGACTCTTTATTTTGCATAAAGCAGCAGCATCTCAAAACCTACTACAGGGATGAAATCTCTGGAAAGGAACCGCAAGGGGCAGCCACAGAACCCAACAAGCGACCCCGAAGCTTGAGCTGTAGAAGTGTGTTGCAGTCATTGGCTTCATTCACCTCACCTAGCCCTCACCCACAACCGTGTGACATGCCCCCCCAGCACTGTGATCCCCCTCGCCCTCCTGTCCCCGGACGCCCCCCCCCCCAGCCCTGTGACCCCCCCATCTCTCCTGCCTGCAGCACTGCGAGCCCCCCGCCCCAGCAGCGCCCCCCGGCCCCAGGCGCAGCAGGGTGAGCGCGGCGCGCGCAGGACTCACCGCGGCGGCGGGGAGGACGCGCGTGGGGACACGGAGTGAAAAGGGAGGAGCGAGGCCGCCTGGCCGGGACCCGGCGCTGCTGCTGCCCCGAGCGGGCCGGAGCCCCGCGCTGCTCGGTGCCCCCGGGAACTGGGAGAGCGGCTCGGCCGGGCGCTTCCCCTTCGCGGCACCGTGCAGGAGCCCGACGCTGACTGAGCGAGCTGCCCCGCCAGCAGCCGCGGAGAGCGAGACGATGTCGCAACACCAAGGCGTCTCCCCCTTCCCCTCCCCCGAGGGCGCCAGCAGCAGCACCCTCTGCGGCCGGCGGGCCTGCCGGGGCTCACCGCGCTCCAGCCACGGGGAGCTGCCCTGCTGCAGGGGCTCAGCTCCGCGGACGATCAGGCCCTAGGACACGCCTTGTCTGGTGCCTAGCGTCCTGCCAGCCCTGCCCGGCTGCAGCGGAGCGGCTGTGAGCGAGGACATCACCTACCCCGGCGTCTAGGAGAGACGGGCAGCGTTTGGGACACGCTCCCGCAGCGCCCCCTGAAACGGGAGCCAGGGCCGCGCTCCCCCCTGCACGCAGCCAGCAGCGGCGGAAAACGTTCAGCAGGCGGCGTTAGCCATACAGCCCGCTGGAATAACTAGGGAAGGAAGAGCTACACCCATCTCCCAGCCACAACCCATCCTGCAGCTGGGCAGGGGGTTACACTAGATGAGCCTGGTGGTTCCTTCTGCTCTGTGGTTCTAGGATTCTACAGAGTACCTGGACTGGAGAGAGCCCAGCGAGGGCCAGCTCACTTTGGAGGGAGAGACTAGGCTCATTTTTAATACAAACACTGTTCACTTTTTAAAGCTGTTTCTAAGATACACCTCTACCTCGATATAACGCTGTCCTCGGGAGCCAAAAAATCTTACCGCGTTATAGGTGAAACCGCGTTATATCGAACTTGCTTTGATACACCGGCGTGTGCAGCCCCGCCCCCCGGAGCACTGCTTTACAGCGTTATATGCGAATTCATGTTATATCGGGCCCCGTTATATCGGGGTAGAGGTGTATTTGTATCCGGGCCATTATGTCTAGCGGAAGAGCTGGAGGCACACCTCACCATACAGTAATGGCTGAAGCAGCATGCTACTGCATCCAAAGTTTCCAAGATGTGGAAAAACGAGCCCACAGAAAGATAGGGCTGATTAGTACTACTTTTGCTTATACACTTGAACTTGCAAGAAGAATGAGGATATATTTTAGGGCAGGGCAACCTGATACTGTTGTTCCTACAGTTGTCTACAATGCAGAAGGTGATAACTTCCCTACCAGTTGTTTGCATTTGCCACATAGAAGAGCTATCATAGGTGTTAGGATGACACCTGCCTCTGGAAATTTCCACTACATGCATCTGTCGAAGTGGGTATTCACCCACAAAAGTTTACGCTCCAATACATCTGTTAGTCTATAAGGTGCCACAGGACTCTTTGTCGCTTACCACAAAAACAGGACCTTTAGCTATCAGCCTGCAAGCTGTTCAGCCTCCACCCCAAACCCCATGCTTTTTAAAGACAAGGAACAGACAAAAACAAGAATTACACAAGCTTGAAGTGTAAAACTTTCACAATAAAGATTTCAAAAAGTATTTTTCATGACCCACCACCGTTTAGGCTAAGTTACATCAATAAATTAGGACACTGGTAGGTCAGTGCAGGACAGCATGTTCCTTGGATCAAATATAGTAGAGGTATAATTGCATTTTTGCCCTTGCTTCCATAGAAATCTTTGATCTCTTGTGCCAGTGGCATAAGTACTGGATCCCCAGCATTGCTCCTTTTCTACATGATTTGCAACTATATTGTCCTTTGAAAGTTTCCTTTTTCTTCCTCTTGACAATTATTTTGGCCTTAATCTTTAGTAATAAAGCTAAGCATATATGATGGTACATTATGTTTGTAAACAACGTAAGTTATACATTTTTTTAAAAATAATTTAATTGGAGCTGCTAAAGCAGGGGTGGGCAAACTATGGCCCGTGGACCACGTCTGGCCCATCAGACCTTTTAATCCGGCCCTCAAGCTCCCGTCGGGGAGTGGGGTCGGGGGCTTGCTCTCTCCGCGCAGCTCCCGGAAGCAGCAGCATGTCCCCCTTCCGGCTCCTACATGTAGGGGCAGCCAGGGGGCTCTGCATGCTGCCTCTGCCCGAAGCACCGCCTCCGCAGCTCCCATTGACCGGGAACTGCAGCGGTGGCACCTGCAGATGGGGCAGCACGCAGAGCTACCCGGCCAGCACCACACCTCTGCGTGTGCCAGAGGGGGGACATGCTGCTGCTTCTGGGAGCTGCTTGAGGTAAGTGCCACCTGGAGCCTGCACCCCTGAAATCCTCCCATGCCCCAATGCCCTGTCCCAGCCTGCACCCCAAACCTCTCATCCCCAGCCCCACCAGAGCCTGCACCCCAGCCAGAGCCCTCATTCCCCCGCACCCCAACCCCCAATTTCATGAGCATTCATGGCCTGCCATACAATTTCCATACCCAGATGTGGCCCTCGGGCCAGAAAGTTTGCCCACCCCGTTCTAAAGTAACAATTTTAAAGATGGCAGTTTCAAATTATCTTAGGCAAAAATGATTCTTACAGTTATAAAGAATCTTTATTTAAAAAACTGATCTTTTCTATGCACACATACACAGTGCACATAGATTAATTTACAGATGCATTAAAAAAAAAACAATGCCCAATATGACAACTTTCACTTATGCATTCATACAAACAGCTTTAGCCTACACATGCTACACTGAGCATTCTTGAATCAAGAGGACTTTTCATTCTCTGTGCACTATATAGACACACAAGTAATCTGGCAATCGCAATCTTTTTTATTTACTCCAACTTTCAGTGCATAGATATTTATATTTTACACTCACAGACCATGGGAATTAGATGGGGCCCAAATGAAAGGCATAAACTTTGGAGATGTTCACATGACGTGGATGGGAAGTGCACTGCTATGGCACATGTTCAATATGGAAGTTTATGAGGGGAAGACAAGGTAAATTATAAGTTCCTCTGTGTATGTTGTCAGATGTCATAATCAATCACATAGTAACTTTGAAGATAACACATATCCCCTTTATATCAAGGACAAATCCTTTGCATACGGATCTTAAATACAAAAGAAAAAAAAAAAGACATTCAGTCTTTTTGTATTTCCCAAAGTTGTTCAATTGCCCACTTTCCCCAGAAGTAATCATTCAATTTAATCTGAAAGTATCACAAGATCAGGAATTCGTGCAAGATTTACAATACTCTGATTTGAGCTAGGCTACAGCTACCATGAAGAGAGACTCAGTGTTTCTTTATTGGGGCCTAATCCAAACCCAATGAGGTCAATGAAGAGATTCCTATGGGCTTTCATCAAGCCTTAGGTCTGCTTCCTGCAGAAGTCAGGAAGTTCAAGGCATTCAATGATTTAAGGGGAAAAAATCAAGTAGTTAGCCAACTCTTTAGAATTTTAAAAAAATCCATTCAAGAGAGTTATTTTATCTGACTTGGTTCATCCACTTCTAGCAATACCACAAAACAGTACGCCATTACAGGTAGAATGCTGTCCTTCTGTTGTACTTAAAAGTACTGCACAGGATCTTTTCAGGGGGAATAAGGCAAAGCGCCACATTTATTGGAAATACCTGTATCAATCAACACTGTATCATATGCATATTATATAAGTACTATAACTGCACTGGCCAGGTGAGTTAGATGGGGGAGGGGTGGAGCCAGGCTTTTGCCAATCCGGATCGATGCTCCGATGTTGACAAGACGAGACCCGGGGTCCTCTGCAAGACACCTCACATTTATAGCAGCTTCCCTCTCATGCAAATCTATACCAGATTCAAAAATCTGTATCTGTGTCCGTTGGTCCTTTGTGCTGCTTCTTTCTGGGTGTTGTCCCAATGCTATTCAAAGAAAGTGTTTTCAAAAGAAGGTGCTTGCTTCTAACCCCCAAGGCCGTCAATATGTCTGCTCTTCTTTAGTGTGCCCACTTGACAAGTTTTATTGTTCTTGGGTTTGGATTCCTTCCCCTCTCCAACTATTGCAGCAGTCTGGAGGTGCTTGCCTTCCACGCCTTTACTCATTCAGACCTGGTTCATTCAACAGGGCAATTGATTAAAAGGGGGGTGGGAGGGATCTTATTCTTCTCCTAGCAAAAAGACATTTAACATTATACCAAGGCTCAATACAAAGTTTTCTATATAAGGATCTGATACAAAGTTGTATGAAATTAGAAGCATAATACAAAGTCATATGAAAGTTATGTGAAGATGCTTAATGCAGAGATTTATCTACACTTCGCTGGTAACTTCCTTAAGGGCATGAGTTGCCTTTTAGACCAGTGGTTCTCAAAGCCAGTCCGCCGCTTGTTCAGGGAAAGCCCTTGGCGGGCCGGGCCAGTTTGTTTACCTGCCGCGTCCGCAGGTTCGGCCAATCGCAGCTCCCACTGGCCGCGGTTCGCCGCTCCAGTCATTGGTTCAATGACTCTCAGCACCCCTGCTACAGAAGTTAGATATGTAAAAATCCAAATCGGTATCAGCTTAATTCCCCGCTTTACATCCCAATGAACCTTATGTACATTTGGGAAAAAAAAGTTTTTTTAAACCTGCTTGGAGAACTGTGTGCACAGCACTTAAGAACTGTAGTTTGATCCTGCAACTCTTAATCCTAGAACACAGCAGCATGTGCACATGACTACCAAGATGGCTTTTCTCTTTAGTTCTGCTTATAGATGTATTAAAGAACTATATGAACTTTACCAGCACTGTACGAGAACTACAGAAAGTTAAGCTCAATTTGCAAAGATTTACGTGCTTAGCTTTAGATGTGGTACATACAGTTAAGCATGTACATAGGTCTTCGCAAGCTTAGGACCTTAAATTGCATATTCAATCCAATACCTTACTGAACTACACAAACGTGTCAAGTTTGCCCTTCTTTATCAAAGAAGGAAATTATTGCTAATCAGTATATTGAGAAGACAGATGCCTAAATCAAAATGAAAAATTCATATATTCCAAGAGCAGAAAGGACCACAGTGAATCTAATCTGACCTCCGGTATAACACAGGCTATAGAATTAAATCAGGCAAGGAAGTGGAACTGGAAATATTTTGGGGATACTTTTCTACTGAGTTGTTGTTTCTTTCTCTTTAATAGCAGCTTCAATTTCTTCAAAGATTGATAATGGTCCTGCATAGTTGTTCGTTTCTATAGCTTCTAATTTCTTCTGATAGGCAGTTGGCAAGTCATTCTGTTTTGCACCCATACAGATGACCTACAATTAAAAGAAAAACTTTTAACATCACTTTACAATAAAAGAGTTAGATCACACAAACCTTTACTTGTGTAAAAATAGTACCATTTAAGGTGATGGGACTAAAACCAAACCCTATGTACACCCTACCTAACCAGAAAAAGGAAGGCAGCCAAAGACACCATGAAGACTACTAACGATCTCTCTAGTGCCAATATAATTAACCTGAAGCAGCTCAGATACTGCCAGGATGGGTACTAGTACAAAACCCCTAGGAGGCTACTGTGTAAGGCACTGAGAGATCAGGCACTTAATGAGTCAATTAATACTCCTGGGGGAATTCTGCATTACTGTGCATGCGCAGAATTCATGTCCCCCACAGATTTCTTTGACAGAAATATGACATCTGACAGGGAAGCAAAGGGAAGCTGCAAGAGCGGTCACATACCCCTCCCTGGCAGCACAGGCAGGTTGGTTTATGTGTCCGGAGCAGCCAGTAGAGACATAAATCACCGCGGTGCTGGTGCTGGGCAGTCGTGTGAGAGAGAGAGAGACAGACAGACAGACAGACAGACCCTCTCGCTCTCTACTGTAGCATGCTCAGCGTGGAGGGGCAGAGCTTCGAGGAGGTAGGTGTAGGACAGGCTCTGTCCCCTCAAGCAGAGCAGAATGTAGCAGCCTGCCTGCTTAGTGAATGCTGCTTTGTCTTTGTGAATTCCCCCAGGAATATAAAACAGGTGTAAAAGTTTTAAGGCTCCTTTACATTGCCAGAGTAGTGTAAAGGACAGTATGGCCTTATAAATGCTTATGTTCCTTTAGTGATCAGAACTGGTCTTTTTGGACTGAAAAAATTCTTATCAAAATGTGTTCCATGAATTGTTTTCTACTTCCTTTTCTGGAGATGGTCAGTAGCCAATATAAATTGAGAGTTTGATTCCCCAGTCCTCACTTACTCTTCAGTTACTTATGATGTAACACTGAGCATACGGCTGCATATATTTGTTGACTAATAACTAGAAATAAAGGGTGAAACCTATCTACATTACTATTAGGTATTTGGGGTTTCCTCCAATGCTCCCTCCTCCTATTCTCCATCCATTGTAGTGTAGTTTAAATAAATTACCAAAATAATTGAAAGCACAGTGATTATATTGCATTATTTTGACAAATAAAATATGCAGAATTTTAAAATTTTTGTGCACAAAAATTTTAATTTTTTCGCACAGAATTCCCCCAGGAGCAAATTAATTTCCACCTTTAAGATATAGGATTTCAGTCTTCAACCAGCCTTAGCATAAGTTCTTCTAAGTGAGAAGTAATTATAACGCTTGAGTTATTACAGAAAAATCCTGAGATGGTACACCAACAGCTGCTGGGTCTTTCTAATTTGAATGGACAGTGGTGAATATGAGTAAGAACTACAGTAGCAAAGAAGCCATTTAGATGTCGCATACGTGAAGACAGTTTCTCTACTGTTTATTTTACTGAAGCTTTCCTTCCCCCACATAAGATAAATGAAAAAGTGTGTAGTGTAAGCCAAAACTATTCATGGGAAGTGAAAAGAAAAATACAGGAAATTACTGGGGTGGAGGTTACAAAAATAAAAACCGCTTATCCCAGGTACCGAAGATACCACACAGACGTACACACAGTGCACTTAGTCACTGACACAGCCATATGACATGAACAGCCCTACTTGTCCTCTTAAATAAAATCCTTTCACGTAGAAGAAAAAGGTAGAAGAGAGCCATAGGAAAACTAAGAGAAATTAGACTGAGAGAACACTTCCCTTACAGAAGGCAGTGTCAGAGTTGACGCAACTACAACGAAGAGTCAAATTTGGTTTGAGTCCCTGACAATACAATTGTTTTGAGAGAGGGAAGCCAGTGAGAAAAGAGAACTGATATAATTACTACTATAAACAGATACATATGCATGTTTTAAAAGCTCAGGCAGCAAGATACTATTGTGATGACAGACTCTGCCTAGTAGGTTAAAAAGCGTAGGGCAGAGAATTTAATACACAAGCCAGGAAGTTACAATTCCTGTAACAGTCAGTTTTGTCACAAAAATACATGACTAACTGTACATATGTAGTACTGTATTATATTACAGTGTATACAGTTAGATGACTGCCTTGTAAAGTTTTACTTGTAAGGGGTAATTTTGTTTGTCAAATAAAAGATCAGTTTTTCCATTATCTTGGTATACATGCAGTATGGCAAGGAGAGCCCCAGACTATATATAAATTATCAACCTTGATGTTTGTATTAGCATAGTTGTATTTCTTCAAACAGCTCGCCCCAAAGATCTGTCTGGGAGAAAAGTAAGGGGGAAGTGATGGCTGCCAGCACACTAGGGTTGCCTGGGTTAGCGTTCTTTAACAAAAAAAACAGATTCTGATCCTGCAAGCTGATCCACATGGATGGACCCCAGGGCAAAAGGTGTGACATATGCATAGGGGTTATAGGATCAAGCCCAGTTAGTTATTTTCAGTAGAAAGTCACTATGGTAGCTTGTTGCTTTTATCTGTAATTCTGATTAGCTAAACATTTCTAGACATGTAGTCACACCACCTCTGGATAGGGCCTCAGACCTCACCAGCTAAGCAAGTCAGGACTGCTCAGTGCTTAGGCATACCTCCAAGAAGAGTCAGTGTGCTGCAGAGTGGTGTTGATGATATCGCACATGGAACTTTTTCTTCCAAACCAGTACTAAATCTGGGGACACAGATCAGCGTACACGTCGTGCTCCCAAGCAGTACCCGGCCCAAGCCAGGGAAGCTAATGATCCAACCAGCAGTCCAAATTCAGTCATGAATCCTGGTCACATGACACTTGAGGGACACTGCGCATATGCTAAGAAGAAGTACTAGACCAATCAGGGGCGGCTCTATGTATTTTGCCGCCCCAAGCACGGCAGTCAGGCAGCCTTCGGCGGCGTGCCTGCGGGAGGTCCGCTGGTAACGCGGATTCGGCAGCATGCCTGCGGGAGGTCCGTCGGTCCCGCGCCTTTGGCGTACCCGCCGCTGAATTGCCGCCGAAACCGCGGGACCGGCGGACCTCCCACAGGCATGCCGCCGAAGGCAGCCTGACTGCCGCCCTCATGGCGACCAGCAGGCTGCCCACCGCGGCTTGCTGCCCCAGTGCCTGGAGCCACCCCCGAGACCAATGCCCCAGAACAGTGTTACAGGGCCTGTGATGTTGGAGATGTCAAGCCAAGATACTAACTACCTTTAGTCATGAAAGATTCTATGGCACTTTTTACAAGAGTGGAGATATTAATATCTATGTCCTCGCCAGATTCCAGGTCAGGGTGTTAAGTTCTGTCCACTAAAATTCCCTTTGTGGCTTCAGTTTAGGACAGTGATCTTTTCTATCCCAAACTATTTTGTAAAGTTGCTTAGTGCTTTTGAGCAGCTGATACAACCTCACAGGTGGTTGCAAATGAATTGAGGAAGAAGCAATTCATGGGTGAGAGCACATGCTTTACGTACAATAGCCCAGATTTACCTTTTGTTTAGTTTCACTGAAGTCAGCAGACTAACAATAGGGATGTATCGGTTTGATACGTTTGGAAAGAATTGAAATGCTATTTTAAGAGAGACTATGCTATATAACAAATGCTGTTGTAAGAGACTATTATAAGTGGCAAGTAGTAATACAATATCCACTTCAGTTCACGCTCTTTTTAGATGATGCCTACTTTTTTATACTGTGGTGATGGGAGATCACAGACACAATCATTCATCTGATAACTTCGACAGGTCAGTACTTTTCCCTCTTGAGTTGGAACGTTGACTTCTATTGGACTGTAAATACCATCTTCAACTCCTTCTTGCCTGTAAAGAATCAAAACATTTCCTTTCATTCTGAACCACCAATACAGGGGAGAAAACTAACATGTATTTGAATAGGTGAGTTTTAGCATGTTAAATGCAAGGTGGCTTTTCGGCTGCAGTACTGAGTAATATTAATATATTCCAATAATTTTGATCAATACTTGTATCTCGGAGTACTGAAATCAAAAAGTGAACAATACCATTGGCTTATTTTTTAGATCCAGAACAAATAGCGTAACAGCAAGCCTATCCCTGTAACCATGCAAGTTAACAGCAACGTTACTTTCTGCACCTCTTGGGAATCAGTTAATGTTTGGTATATAAATAAAATTGGATAATCCACAATATGCACACAACGAAATTATGAGAATTAAAAGACAATGCCAGAATCATTAAGTTCCACTTTGATAATGAAACAACTGCAAAATTTTACCTTGCCCCTTTAATTATTTTTAAATAGAGAGATAATTCTAAAGTGAGGAAACTCCCAAAGCACATCCTTGTGAACAACCCAGCACACCCATCAACATGCCCAGACCTTGTAGTTTGTATGTAGAACTTGCACAATAGCAGTGAGCTACAAGACTGTATCGAGAACCGCCATAACTAGTTTCTTTCAAAAGAAAGATTTGCCCAAGGGCAGGGGGAGGACAGTGGATTAAAAACACAGTGCTAAAAAGTTAAAATTAGCTTCTAATACAAATCTAAATAAATTGGCAGTAATGGGTGAACTTAGTTCAAATGTCATGAGATCAGGGATAGCATTTAGATACGATAGTTAACTGCTTAGCTGTACACGACAGGTAAAAACGTGACCACTTAGAATACCCTGTCTAGGTTTTAGCAGTATTCATCACAATGGTATCCGAGTATCTGACCAATTATATTTTCAAATTAAAACAACATCTAATCACTTTTACAAGTGATTTAACATACTAGCAGAGTATGGCCCCAGCTGGCTCACTGCAGGCAGACCCATATGCCTGCATGGAACTAACAGGAAGATTGCAGCCTACAAACAAATGGAATGTAAACCTTAGAAACAGATTTCTGGGTCATAGCAGGGGGAAGAAAGATGACAAGCCAATAGTGTCTTTTGCTGGGATTTAAAAGAAAAAGTGTCAGGTCAAACAAACTTTATGAAATGTAAATTTTAGGCTAAGACAAAACCTCCAAAAACTTACAATCAAGAGAAGTGCTACCAAGGAAAGCAAAGACACAAAGATCCCTCTCCCTTGTTTGCAACCCAAGCATTGTATTGTAGGGTTACCATACGTCCGGATTTTCCCGGACATGTCCGGCTTTTTGGGCCTCAAATCCCCGTCCGGGGGGAAATCCCAAAAAGCCGAACATGTCCGGGAAAATAGGGAGGGGCCGGCGGTGCTGGGCCGGGGGTGCTCGGCCGGGGGCTGGCCCGGGGCCCAGGGGTGCGGGGGCCGAGCCGGGCCCGGGGGTGCTGGGCCGGGGGCCGCTCGGCCGGGGGTGTGGGCCGGGGGCCGGCACCCCAGGAGCCGAGCCAGGCTGGAGACACTGGGGCCGGGGCCGGCCGCCGGAGGGAGCCGTTTGGTTGGGGGGGCTAGACTGGGCCGCGCCTCCTCCCCCCACCCCCCGCCAGCTTATCTGCTGCCTGCTTCAGGCTTCCCGCGAATCAAATGTTCGCGGGAAGCAGGGGAGGGGGCGGAGTTGGGGCGGGGACTTTGGGGAAGGGGTGGAGTTGGAGCGGGGGCGGGGCCCCGTGGAGTGTCCTCTTTTTGGACACTCAAAATATGGTAATCCTATTGTATTGTTTAGCTAGTAAATAAGGAACTAAAAGTGAAATTGACTACACATTATCCAAAAACAGAAGTAACAAAGACTACTTTCATTGTCCATGCTGAGAAAAAGTGCAAAAAGTGAACACACACAGTAAAAAGCAAAACTGGATTTTTCAGGTTTAATAATCCAACATAATTTAAGGAAAGCTAATCTATTTTTTAGCTACAACTATGTCCCAATCCTGCAGACACTTACGAATGGGTGCAACTACAAAGAGAAAACAGTTCCACTGATTTCAGCAGGACTATTTGATGTCTGTGCTTAACTCTACACCAGGGGTCGGCAACCTACGGCACGCGTGCCAAACACGGCACGCGAGCCGATTTTGAGTGGCACGCTGCCTGCCCACTGAGAGGAGGAGGAGGAGGAGGGGCGGAGGGGCCGGAAAGCGCCAA